TAAACAACCGCTCTGAACTGGAGTGAACGCACACACGTTTACTCCAATACAGAGTGTTCTATGTTTATTCCGTATATGAGCAAATATTCCCCAGTTTCTCGCGCGAATTGCTTGTGTGCATATTTATGTTCATACTGAACGATATAAAACATGATGTAGGCGGATAATGACGATTTCATGCGCGGAAATAAGACGTATATTGTGAATTCTTTTGTTTTTTTCGTCATCACCGAAATTTTTTTCAATTTTATAGAGGATAACTTACAATACATTCCATAAAAATTGGTATTTGAATGAATGAATAAGAAAAGATGTGAAAAGGTAGAATAATTGACTTAAATATAATGTAATTGAATTAAAAGTTCATTCTCAAAGCAACACTTGCACAATTAGAATTGTTAAGTAAATGATCGCCAAATTATCGCAATCAGACACACGTTCTTTGAGAAATTGTCCTTCAAAGCTTTTACATTGAACGTATTCCAGATCAAATGATAAAAGACAATGTTCAATGCATGAGCCTACAGAAGCTTGAGTTTTTCAAGGATTTTATTTTCAAATGAAGTGAATTCATTTGAATAGCACTATTTTATCATTCACATATACAGAGCTAGGAAAAAAGACACAGAAATTCGAATCGTAATTGATTCACTGAACAGAATTTCTGTTGTCACTCGCATCAGAAAGACGTCTGCTTACAGGAATCAGTATACGCGTGTATGTTGAACGACAAACATATTGTGTATACATATTCCTATTTTTGCATGGTCAAGAGGATTTATTTCTCAATCCAAGGCGGGAGATATTCATTTTCACGATATTACAACGGTAATTCAGCGAATTATGAAAATATTCGAAAATCTTATTAGTTTCTGTGTCAAAACTTCATGATTACATTGTTAAGTTGAGCTGAATAACAAATGTTATTTGACTACAAATAAAAAATGTCATCAGCCTGTTACATTAAATTGTTCATTTAAATTTGCTACATGAATCCATATCAATATAAATATATATTGAAATTATTTACTAGGAATTTCCAAAAAAAAACCACATATGTTTTTACATATATAACTCATGCGTAAAATTTTATAATACTTATTTCAATGACAATTTTTTTCATAGATTTATGCAGTTCCGAATATTTGCCAGAAGTAGAGATATTTTCTTTACTTGAAGAACAAATTCCAAAATACAAGCTTAGAGCCGATACATTAACACAGTTTGCTGGCTACCAAAATGAAGTACGTACAGTTTACCATTGGAACATTTGGATTTTGTTTCATTCAAACACTATTTTATTGAACATTTTCGTATTTTTCAAGGATTGGTTTGTACCCAGCCCAGCATTGCAGGTTCCAGAAGGAGGTTTCGGACTAAATAGTGACCAAATACGAGAGACCTTGAATTACTTTCGTAAGTACAATAGCTTTTTTCGAAATTAATAATTTGCAGATACATAATTATTCGCTATGTATGTTCCTTATGATTCGAAAGATAAAACCAACACTTGAATCTATTCGTTTATAAGCTTCAAGTTTCTATGTTTCAATATTTTTATGTTTATATAACCAGTTAATGTTATGGCTTTCAACGCCATCTTTGGTTTGGTAATGATACGTGCAAGAAAGCTCCCCATCCTTAGTTATGTTCAAAATTCAAATATTGTTCTACACGAGAAAAAAGTCAATAATATGCGAAATTTGGTCGTCCTAATTTCTAACATACTTTTATCGTGAATATTTTTGATTCTTCCTTGCGATATACATATCTCCTGTTCATTTCCATGGGCAAAATACTCGAAAAAAATTCCCAATTTGTAAAATTTTATGTGATGCATTCAATGACAAAAATTAAGGCTTCTGTAGCACATTTTGATCAAGTGATTAACAATGTGAAACTCGTTCTATTATAATAGTAAAACGATGTAGTCGTGGGAATTGTTTGGTCATATTCATTTTTGATTGCACAGTTTTTAAACGTGGAAAGAGAAATTGAATATATTTGCGGAATGTTTATTCTTGAATGATCATGTTTTTCTGATGGTAATTTGCCTTTCATGTTTACATAGATTTAAGAAACATGATATAAAATGGTTTTCAGGTTCAGAAGAAAGTATTTAAATAAGTTCTCTCGGTCATTATTTCATGACCGGTACTTGAAAATTGTTTTTTATATCCTTTATTCCTAGTTGTTTTCTTCAATTTTATTGTTTTTATTTCTTCTTCCAAAAACTATTGAAAACCACACGACTGACAAGAAGTGTGTTATGATTTTCTAAAATAAATTTGACTTGTTTGCAATTTCGAAAGAAAAAAATATATTACAAAGATACATTTTAGTAGCTATTTGGTGATTATAATGCAATTTGTTATGGTTCTTCGTTTGAACAACAATTTCAATATAATATAATAAACAAATTAGAGCTTGACTCCGTGAAATCAACCAATTTGAATAAGATTTATTGATGGTTTTCTACTCGAAAGAAAGAAATAACAAATTTTTTTTTATAATGAAAATCTATGACATAAATTGTCTTCCATTTAGTAACCTCAAATGAATTGTCTGCAATGATATAAATCGTAGTACGTATTGAACACAATTTGTCAGTTTCAATAATGCTTTTATGGTCAATTAGGTTTATGCCGGATTAACCAGTCCAAACGAAAGAATAAGTGAATCAATATGTTTCATTTCTCATCTTTTCGGCATCTGTAACTACTTTCTCAGTGGATTATTCGATTAAATCCGTATCGAACTGAATTACACACCATTTTGTAAACGTTTTTCAATGAAGAAATTGACTGCTAACTGGTTTCATTCATGTGAATATTCAATTATAGCCAAGATTCGCTACATACAATGTGGAAATATGAACCTATTTGGACAGTAATTTTTATAGTAATCTATAGTCGACTCGTAAACATCACTTCCGATACCTGGGAATGGAAAAGCGTGTATACATTATACACACATCGCCTTAGTTGTATTTTTCCTCTTTATTGCGTTTATTTTCAGTTATTTTCACACCATTCTTCGTTCTTTTGTGATGCTGTACTGATGATTTATATGAGATACAAATTTTAATGTCTCAACTGATTGTACTTTTCTTGTCTTAATGTAATTATTTCACTCAATATCGGAGCTTGACTAGTTATTAAAGTAGAAACGATTGCTCAAAGTTAGAACTTCAAACTAAAGCGGTACAAAAATGTTGGAAAACTGTCAATGTCAAACATTCATTACTTTTCATACCGATCAAATCTTCGAGTTGCAAGTCAGTAACCAACGAGCAATTACATTTCATTACCACTTGTGGAGAAATTCAATAGATTTTAATTACTCAATCAATTAGATAGAGAAGGTGAAGCAGTCACTTTTTTTCCAATTCGAAATCCGTAAGATTACAAATGAAAAGTATGTGAATGTGGCGCAAATTGTTTATCAGCCATTTCTTGGGCTCTAGGTGAGCCGTTTGTATTCATTCATGTTTCATTGTTTCATCAATAAAAGAGTTACGCACAACCAGGCATGACTGCGCAATTGGAATGCTATAAATCAAAGAGAAAATATCACATTTACCCTGACCAAATGCAAGTGAATGGCTTAAATTTTTTTTCAAATAATCCATTAAACAACTATATTTGTGTAATTGAGAATTCTCTAAATATGATGAGCGTTACTAACACTGTTTAGGACAATCTTTCGGTGGGCAGCATCAAATCTTGTCCAAATCTAAACTATAGACTTCGAATCATGCTATTGCTACTTGTCAACTAAATTTTTTTGCCACGCGCATATGAGTTCAATCGACAATTTTGTGTTTAGTTATAATTGGTAATACGCGCCAAAATTGTGTACCACATCTTATTAACCAAATCTCATGAAGTCTCATTGGAAGTTGTAAGCAAGTTGCCATTCAAAAGCAAGACGTGGACAATAATTACATTCTTCTACGTATGTATCCATTGAAATTAAAGTATACAAGAACAATAATGGAAAAGGAATTTTATGTATATTATTGTAAAATAAAAAACATAAATTTTGCAAAAAGATTAACACAATAAACATTCAATAAATGTAACAATACCTCAATTTATAAGTATGCACTTTGAACTTATAAAGGTATTATTGAAATTTGAAGATTGCATTACACATGCTTTCACCCCAACAAATCCGAACATGCAAGCATCGTCTTTGTATGTAGAGAATGTGATGTTGTATACTTTCCTCCCATAGAAATTTGCCGTGAAACGCTCATAGGCTGTGTTTTAGTATCCCACCTATCGCAATCTTTTACAAAGAATCATGACATTGAAAAAGGCATGCAGCGGTATCAACAGAGAAAAAAATCACCCAAATGTTTGTTCCACTAACATCGAAAATGAAGTAGTTGACTTTTTATGCTCAGCGTGAATTGCCATTGTTGGAATCAATGTAAATACTCGATTCAGTCTGATATTTCCTTATAGTTAACTGTGTTATACGATTGAGAAAAAAAATTATCGTATAAAAAATCGAATGTTTGCAAATGATAGATATTTTTCTTGTGATAGAAATGAATCTCAGAATCCACACTCCAATTAACACATTGATGCAAAATTCGAAGAAGCTGCGCCGATCTTCCACGCTCCATAAGAATCATGCGGGCAATGTATTTATTGAACTCATAAGAGCATAAAATAAATATTTGCTTATGATTTGTACGTAAACTGTTTCCATGAAACGTATCAATGCTCCCCCATTTTATTATGTTGGACATGCAGATTTGAACGGTGAAATGCACCAACGCAACTAACGGTAATGAACAATTATTAGCAAATCTATTCAAGAACCCGACAACGAGCATCAAATTCTATTTTTTTAATCGTAAACATGTACGGGATAAACTGGTTGCATAATGATTTATATCGATAATGTACAGTGTACATTTTTTAAGCCGGGAGTAACAAGTTTCTGTTTCACCTTAGTTACATCTACTGCAATAGATCGAAGAGGTTAAAGAGGCAAATTCTCGTTTACTCTTTAGGTTGGAACAGACTTTGCAAGTAAAACGCTATTAGAAAACATTTTAAAAAATCATCTAGTTCATATCATATATTAATAAATGTAATTGATTCATTTGTGTAACTTGAGCCACATCGTATTTGACTGTGCAGTTTTTTTTTAACAAAAAACCAGTAAATAGCAAGACCCATTATTAAAATGTATTAAACCGTTATGTCGAACTCTTACATTTAAATTTCTTCGAGATTGTTGAATTAAGTCCATATATTAAGATGCTCTTTGCGTGAAAAAAAATACTTCACAGTCGATTTGTCGAAGCTCTTTGCCAAAGCGTTCAGTTAGGTTGAATGAACAGTATAGCGATTCAAAGATCATTTGGATATAATTAATCGAATGAAGCTCTCTTAATAAAAAAAAATCTCACTACAATCTCCCGCGTCTTTTGAAGAGACAGCACGATATTGAAATTATGTACTTACCATCTTTGTGAGATCTACTAACAACGAAGATGATATTGAGTCTCTTTTTAAGCAAACTAAGATATTTGCAATCAGTACGATGATAAAAAAAATTAAATCATTGGACAATACCCGCAATGAATTTAGAGAGTTCGCAAATGATGATGATTTATTTAACATAAGCATGTACGGTGTACCTGTACACCTATCGAAATACAAGTCCATGTTTTCTGTATCCGTAACCATCTTAAATGTATGGTTTTTATTCAAAGTCTTGCGGATAGTTACGTTTTGCGGTTTTTGCTATTTAAATTCATTTTACTATTTATGCCACGCCAATGAAACAATAATGGCATCTTTAAATTGATTAAATATTTACCGTGGCGAAAAATATGTGTAAATATCTGATTTGATGTATCAAATAAATTGCTACTGCAGTTAATTTGAAGTTTTAGTTTTTTTATTCTGCAGTTGCAGCTACGACACATGGTGCTAAAAGCGGATCATTTTCCCACAATTATACATGTTCAGAATTCAGCATTCATTCAACAATTTTTCAATGTCTGAAACATGTTCAATAATTTGATAAAATAATGTACTTAATATTTTTCAATCATTAATTTCTTTTTTGCATTCTCACGCAACAATAGTCATCTAAAGATTGAAAGTAACAATATTCGTTTCAACATTAACATTAAACCGTATCAAAACGATTGCGAACCGAACATTAAACCTCATTTACAGCGTCATTGAATATTATATATCCCTTGTCCTTTCATCGAGTTAAAATGCCAAGCACCACTTTTAATAACAACCGCGACAGAACGTCATTGAATTGTAAATATGCCGTGTGTGCATTCAAAAAAGTTCGGATAATACGCATGGGATAGACATTGAGGAACTTGCAGGTAAAATGTCAGAAACATTGGAACTTATTTGATAACGGTTTGGGTGAGAGATATTAAATATTCTGCACATGTAAAAAGGAAATATCCGCTATTCATTACTTTAATCTGCTAGCCATCAAACAAGCACTTAAGAATCTTCACTTGAAAAATAATTCCAAGACATTGAAAGTGTAAAAAAACAAAGTAAAATAACCGTATACAAAAACCACATTCGAAATCAGAGCCATATGCTTATTCACAGAAAATACATATGCAAGCTCTTGCGGTGGAATGTATGCTCGCTTCAGTGTTTGTAATCTGAACGCGAAGCGATACGAACAGTTTACGAGTGAAATGAAGAACAAATAATAAGTTTAGTTTGGCTGCGTTTAGTTCTGCGCTAGACGCTGTTCATGTCGGACGTAATGAGTGTAGGTCATACTTATTTTTAGACGAACATTTCATTTTTCACGTGATTTCATTTCTCGTATCAGATTCGGTTTCGATAAATTACTCTACTTACTAATACCAGATAGAGTGCTATTTTTATTCAATGTTTGTGTTTCGACGCTGTTGTGTTTGTGTTTTTCGTTACAATTTTCTCCGAACAAATTTTTGCCGAATCAAAAACGAACTAAAAGGAGACGCAACGAAGAGATTTTAATTGTTGATATTGAATCAAACGATAGAAAACTGACAATTTTCAGTATACCATACTAAATAAAAAAAATCAATTGAAACAATTATCTGTGAACTGATGGGAGAAAAAGAATATTTCAAGTTTTGTACCAAAAAAATCATGTGAAGTGCGGGATAATGTCTCAGCGATAGCCGTCAGCTTGTGTCAATGTCACACACACAAACTGTCATAACGAACACTTTAGTGCATACACACTTGACTTTGCTATCGATGTCTAAATGAATTGTAGTAACAACGTACACACTCACAATCTATTATTGTTTTGATTAACAAGTGTTGAAAATTGTTCGGTTTAATCGTCGACTGGAGCGATAGTTTGTTAACTTATTCGCTTTACTTTGGAGTGCATGAACATTAACGACGTTTCACAACAATGACTAGTCAACATTAAATCACTTTCGGCTCATGAGACGCTGATATTTCAATAAAATAAATTCGTCGGCAGAATGTCATTTCTGATAAAACGTCTATAATCTAAATAAAATACGCAATAATCTTTATTTTCAACTGAAGAATGCGAAAAAATTGAACACACAACCACAACAACATTACATTTAAAATTATGTATTGAATTGATTTAATGGAATTTCCTTCACAAAAACTTTTATTCGTTGTATTTTTGCTAAAATGCACGTTTTCCGGCGACCTGTTTTTTTGGTTATGTTTCAGTCTTCAAAGCAGATGTTTTCATGTCTTTCACTATTATTTTACGTTTGCCATATGAAGAGTTTGTTTATTTACGTACATGCCTTATGTATTAACAGTATTGAAAATTGCTTTGAAATAATAAACAAGTACACACAAAGGAATACCTTAATAGTTGTCAGTTATATTCCGGTGACATATTTGACTTATGCTTATTTTTGAGTTTCAGTGATGATAAATGAATTTGTATACGATTATCAAAATATTATGATTAAAATTACATCCATTCATTGTTGGTTTACTTATTATTATGTCACATTATAAAAATGCGTTTCACATTCACGTATTTCATTTTAAATCGTTTATGTTTTTACATATTCATACATAAATATGTCTTCAACTAAACAGTGCTCATTCAATTTTATTCAATTCAACACTCACAAAATCTGAAACGCCGAAATCGAAAATGTGAAGATCCCATTCCATCGATGAATCGAAATTTATTCGACACTTACTTATCATTAATTGTTATAATTTTATGTTCATGCGCAACAACAGTAAAATGAATAAGTTTCTGGAACTATTTCGTTACTGAATTCTGTTACATGTTTTCAAGTAGTTCAGAGTTGAGTTATTTAAATGAACAATACCACTTGCAATCCGATCGAATTCCTGTGATTCATCATAAACAAGAACGAAAGAAATCTTCATTTTTGGTGAATTGAGTAAAATCATTGAAAATATGGACGAACAATTTTGCATAAAGTCAAAGAAATCTAACACGAACAATGACCACAAGTATTATGAATAAAATATCTGCAGCGTTGAATTTGAAATCTTCGTTGGAATTAGCTCCGAGCCATTTGGGTTCTAAGAAAAGCGATGACCAAAATGAATATCATACAATATTCACGAAGCGCCTGTCAAATTCATCCGTTCCAGGTCACATGAATTCAACAAGCTGTAGTGAAATCGATGAGGTTGATCAGCATAATCAATGCTCATTAGATGACTTTATTGGCGGTCCAATCGATGATGAACAATCGTTGAATTCGTCTCAAAATCTTGATCAAAATGCTGATTTTAATCGGTCGATAACCGCAACGCCAGCTGATTCGAGTTGCGGTTTCCATAATACATTCAGTGTACTTGAAAAGCACTTGAACAAAACAAAATACCTGAAGCTAAGCCAGAAACAAATAGAATACTTATTGCTGCAAAACAAAGATTTGGCCGTTCACAATGACACTTATATTGATATCCCAATAAATGATCGCCGCAGTCTTCATGCTGTTAACGGTTTGTCTAACAGTTCCATGAATGACGCCAACGGTTGGAATTCCGACGATGAAGAGTCTCCCAGTCATCTTGAGCTAGAGTTGGAAGCAATGGGTCGCCTTCGTTCAATGTGGAACGAAGAGATGTTAGCAAACAGCAAAGTTGAAAATGATGAAAAAGAATCATCGCCCACACCGTTCGATTCATCCTTGATAGAAGAATTTTATCAACAAGATAACTACAGCATTGGTGTGCAGAATCCGAACGAGTACATCTATCATGTTGCCAAATCGCGAGATGGTCAACTCTACATACGAGTGCGGCGAAATCTGCGCTTAGATCAAGGTAAATGTTCACTATTTCTTCGATAACTTTTCACGGAACTATGAAACTGATGTTCTAATTGCGTTGAACGCATTTAGTTCTCGATCCCATCACATATCGTACTTCAGATATATTTATAGCTGACACAGTTGCATCAGTTTACATATATTGCAAAAAACATTCCGTTTGCTCCAACGGCAATAAAATACATTCGGCAATGGATTGGAACCAAAATTTCCATAAATTCATATAAATCGATATTTTTCTTTTCTTTCTTCTACGCTGCTCACTGTACACAAAAGAATGCGATCAAACATTTTCTTCATGAGTCGGTTCACTTGTGCTAGAGGCACACGTCCAGAGCAAATCATTTGCGCCCACATTTACAATGGGTGAAAATAGTAAACAAAACAATGTTGGTATTGTTCGGAAAGAGACGACGTATATGAACACAATTACCGTCTAATTATTACGAAAATGCTTTAAGATACGCATTGTATACATGCTTGAGTTCTGTATATGTAGCATATTAGAATAACAACGGATCCAAATAACTCCGTACGATGACTGAAAAAGGAGAATGAAAGAAATGGGAAGACTGGATCACATTTCGTGAATGAGCGAATGAATTGTTCATTTGTTCGCGATTCGACGATATTAGTATTGATGGTGGTTTTTCCCCTAAAAAAGCATGTATAAGTTAAGTCAACACGCAAATTCAGTTCACATTATGAGTATTCCAATTAGTTAAATTATGCAAAATGCTTCGGAAGTTTTCTGCTTGAACGCTCATTCTTTTGCGAATTGAAATAGGATAAATCTCATGACACCGTCTACGGTCTCTAACAATCAGTATAACTGCTCATGTGTATTGTTGCACAAATTTCAGAAAATCTCATTTTCACAAGTGGATCATCATTTTCACAAGGGAACATAATTTTGATTTTTGGTATCTTCCACAAGCAGAGTTAATTTGAATAGAAAGGGAAAATAATTTCAACACCTGCTTTGAATAATTATTACCAGGCTTTTCTTGCTATGGAAATTAATGTTATCGCTTAATTATATCCAATATACTGCTTTAAAAATATTCAAAATTTTGATAACAGTTTCGAAATTCCAGACTTTTTCGTAAAGCAAACAAATTGTATGTTCAAGTTCATATACACAAAAGCATCAATTCGACTATTTTTCGGAAGACGCTTCACTGTTTTGTATGGTATTATTTACTCAATATTCAGCAGTCTGTATAATACAACAATAAAATATGCCAAACAAAGGCAAAAAATAAACGATCTATTTACATTGTCTGTTTCTTAATTGTCACTGTACCCAAAACGTTCTTAATATACGAATGTGTTTGTCACTGTTTGAAGAGACGTTCAGCATTGAACATCGAAATTTTGCCTCGTGGCTAAAAATTTACTTAAGAAAAAAAAAATTTTGATCTTGACGACAAAATAACTTTTCAAATTGTGATAATGCGATTGATTCATCTGTTTGTAGGAATCATAATTTTTACTATTTTCATAATTTATTGGTTTGTAGTTTTGAGTATCGATGTGTTTCAATACCGCGCGATGAGAGTAGGATATAAAAGATTTTATCAATTGATGGATAGCCTGTTCAATGAATTTCGAAGTGAAGAAAATGATGAAATGGAAGAAGTGTTTGAATCACACATTGATGATTATGACGAAGATAATAACATTCAAAAATTGATGTGTTACACATGGAGTTCATTGAATGATTTAATTCGTATTAATAATAATCGTTTGATAGATGCATCAAAGAGAGTGCGTGATAGTCCAACAATATTGAAAGATCGGCTTGAAAAAGATTTGCAAATCACGAATGCAATAGTTTACAGTTACAATATACGTTTAAATCTGGCATTACCTCCATTTTTGTCATTATACCAAAATCAGCTTAGCGAAATGCTCGCCACAACAAATGACATAAATAAAGCATTTCAGTATTTTATTGGAGATGCCATCAGAAAAATTGATCATGATCAATATGAATCGTACCAGTCATCTAGTATTCGTGTAGCAAAAATACTACAACAATTTAAATCAGTGATTCAATCGCAAAACGAGGCACATCTTGAATGTGCTTGTGATACAGCAAAGCATTTGGACGCGTTGATTCAAGATTTCGCGGAAAGACTTTATTTATGTGTGAACGCTACAAGTGAACAGTTTTCTAACTACATAAAAGAAACGATCACACCCATGGCAAATTCGATGGAAACGACAATTAGATCTGTTACTCGTGGTATGAAAAGATCTAAAACATCTGTGGAAGTATTTTATCAACTGCCAATGAAAGTTCGTAAGCCATTCTTTCTAATTGCTAAACTTTCTTCGATTCAAATTAAAATTATTTTCTTTCGTCAAACCATAGTTGGCCAGCTCAAGTTCCATGATAAATCTATTGCATGTTCAACAGAGATCGAAGATATCAGACGTTATTGAACAATACGTTGCATGTCAGGAAAAAGAAACACGAAGAGTCTTTATAGAAACCCGTACAATTGGCAATCAATTGGAGGAATGTTTGCGGCGTGAAGACATTGAGCAATTTTCATTTGATATCTTTTAACCATAGGCCTAGAAAATGTTCATTTTATATAAGTTCCTATGGTGAATAAAAACAAAACAATTTTTTTTCTCTAATAGAGAAAATTTCGTGCGTGGAAATACTGAATATTCCATTGGTGCTACTTATCGATTCAAGTCCAATAGTTCTGAGCATCAATACTATATGGTAATTGCAAATGATATTTCTTTCCAAAGTTCCAAACAAGCTCCAAAACGCTAATAGATGACATGAACGTCTCATTTCAATGGTACATCATAAAAGCATGATTTGATATCTTACGGTAAATTATATATACAATGACCATTGCCTATATTGTCGAAGAATAGCACATACGTGTTCCAAAATATCTTATTAAAACATTCCCAGGGGTTACTATAAAACAAAGTTTGCAGCAATTTTCTGTCATCTCTTTGCTAAGCAGAAGAAGTTCCCTCTATTTCTGTGCTAATTGCTGTAGGTAAAAATAAGAGAATAGAACAGCCAAATGGTTAATGATCAAGCCTTTTCCAATGATATGATTTATAATTAAGAGAAAAATTCTGTGGTTCACCGTTCCGTCTGGTGGCTACTTACAAAATATCAAATCAAATTTAATGGATATACCATAAAAGATGAAAAAAAGAAGAAATAAAAAACAAAATAAAATCGTAACACATTTGTTTGCTTCCATGAAAACGGGCAATTTTGTTTTTTTATCAAACGATTGCAATTTCAAATGAAATCGCTTATAGCACGATATTTTTCGTGTGCCAGCTACATGCCCAATTGAAATTGAATAGAACATGTCTACTACAAATATGACATATATTTTATATGAACCATTGCGACAAACAAATTTACTCAGAATATTTTAGTTTTAAAGTGTTTTTTTCATATGGAGTTGTTGTTGTAAACTCTGTATAAAAAAATTTCATGTTGCCCTTTGAAACTGAAATATTCTGAGGGAATTTGTTTGTCGCAATGGTTCATATATAATAGATGCTAATCACATTTTTACCATTACTCCGCCTGTTATCCTTTATCTACCAGAAATCAGTCAATCAAATTTTCCAACATCGTGATGATGAACTCAATTTACTTTTTAAAGGCATGACATGTTTTAAGGAGTTCGTACCGAATATATAACTTCAAGGTCACTCATATTTCTATATGTTCTTTTTTTTTAAACTACTTTGCATATTCGAATTTCATGAATTCATGCAAAAACTTCTCAAGTTTTGACGTTTTTCATGTTGCTTGAGTCAAAAGTGTTAATTCAAATCGAATATAACAACACAATTTGTGGATAATGTGTGCATAAACTATTTCACAAGAAAACTTCGTTCGAGTGACGCACGTGAAAATCCATTATGAAATAACAGGAAAATATGAAATATAAGCTTGAATAAACGCACGCACCAATTTACTTTCTAGGAAAACATGTTAGCCGACATAGTTTGTTTTTGCTCCCCGGCACGATAGCTACTTTGACAAGAGCACAAAATCAGCTCCCAGCTGATTTTATGCTTAGTTTTACATATTAATACAATAAAATAATACAATTTTTGCAATTGCATTAAGTTTGGACTACGTTTCCCCACACATCAATTTCACCACATATTCAAAGAATATTGAAAACAAATATAGGAAGATGTTTATACGAAACAATATATTGGTGTTTATAGTACGTGAGTACTTACCTCATCGATCGGCCGAAAACACTATACAATACAGATATATTATTTAGTAGAAATAGCGCACATTTTGACCATTTCCTTGGTTATTGGGTTATTGTTTTCAATAATACAATTGAGAAATTTACCATATTCAGCTATCAGTAAACTCGCTATAGATTATAAAGAAGATCGATGTCGTTTGGCCACTTTTTCCGTTTCATTATACAATTGTAAGACGACGCGACTCACATAGTTGTGCCGAGTGTTAAGCGTTTCCGGTTGCAATTGATCGTTCATTCCACTGAGAAGAGTTTAATGCGACTGTATACAGTGAACCAAGATTCTTAGTGACTTTTCTATGGTTTACTGTTTAACCATAATTTAATTGGTTAACGCAAAAAGAACACAAGAAACATTGGCCATAAATATGTTTATGCAATACAGAATGGATGAAATCCATAGGTATTTTGTTCGCACGTAAAAATTGAAAAATTACGAGCCCAAAGCCCATACAAGTGCAAGTATTATCGTTGCACGTTCAGTCATGCGCATAATATATAAGGAAGAGTATCTTATAACTCGATTAATGTGCATTTTTGTGGCTTGTCGATGTCGATGACTTCAATACAACAATTTATCGAAAGGAACAAACAAAATCTATATCCGCTTCAGAACCCCCTTTTGAGACATTTTATGACATAACTGAATTAATTGTTCGAATTTGTTGACAACGTATAAGACAGTGAGCTGATGATGTCACTAATATTCCCATTCAATTGCCAATTCTAACTGAACAAATATTTATATTTGAGTAACGTAAACGGGATTTTTTTTTGCTAAAAGAAAATTTCTTAAATTTCATCATCAATCTTACAAGTTTCGAGAAATTCATATAGATGGCGTATCTTGCACAGAGCTTTCAGAACATTTTTCAGTTAAAAAGTGCTGCCAACACTTAAATAGCTAAAATAGAAACTTCATCTTTATGTTCGTATGCATACAAACTCACACACAGATTGGAGTCTCTTTTAGTTCGCAACGAATACAGAAACGTCAGTCAAATGAGTAATGCGTGTTTTGATGGAAATAATTTTTTTTTCACTTTATTCTTCGGTTCGAAACAACAGCCTGCAACTTGAGCTAAGAATCGAAGACTAATATTAGTGTATGTTTCCAAATTTGTCATGTTCCATGAATATTCTTTTGTATTTTTCTTACCAACAGAAAGCGCTTTGCTATTAAACTTTGCCCCTGAAGTGTAGTTTATGTGCATATGTACGGTATACAAGTGTTAATCGAGTCATATGTGAAAATAGCCAGTCAAAAGTATTAAAAAAAATGCGACTGAACAAAATATAATAGTTTATGTGTTCGGGAGCAGTTCTATAAGTTGAAACGAATATGTTTATTGGTTCAAATCTCTCAAAGTAAATGGATAAATTGTGATAAATGTAAAATCCTCGAAAAATTCGATTCCAGAAACGAAAACACAAAGAAGAACTAGTCGTGTGCAAATTGCTGATAAAAAAACTAAATCGATTGAATGGTGGAAAACTGATGTTGTATATACGTACATATGCCAAATATTTTAGCTGCTTAATTTTTGTTTAGTTTCACAATATTCGTTTTTTGTTTGTTTTAAAGGTAATGCTATTTCATTTTATTCGTATTTTGATTTGATAATATATTATAATATCATAATATTTGAACTTTTGATTCATCTTAAATTGTATTTATACCGAGTGTGTTACGAACTTTGTATTTAGTATCGTTAAAAGTGTTAACAGTGACAGATTATCACATGATTTTGGTTTTCAATATATACACAATGAAAAAAACCTCTTTAGGCATTCGGCAACTGCTTCATGTGTAGTTGAGTGACATAATACGACACACAGCATTATTAATATTCAATCTTATTTATGCTAAATTTTGCTGTCAATATGTGTAACGTTAATCATTCATATTTTCCTGTTGAATTCCCTACAATGATTGTGATTAGAGGAATGAATCGCTTATTTGTAATGATATGCCATTAAAAACGCTTCACATGTGTTAGTATCGAGTACGTCAATTTTAGTAACTGATAATATCCGTATACGACTATAAATTTGCACAAAATCATCAATGTTTCACTCTTTGCTGTTGTTTGAAAATCTGAAAGCATCAACAAAGTGTATTAACCACTCAAGGTCGTGCCAAACTGAGCGTACTGGAAACACACGTTACGATTCCAAAAAAAAAACTTCATCGAAGAGAAAAAATGATTCGCAAATCATATAGCAGCACATTTCATAGTTGAAGTTTTACCTTAGTGGTAATTGTGAAAGTTATTTCGAATCAGAATACTTCTTTTTATCGATTTTGTTCCTCGTTCATGGGCTATAGAGGCTACGTCAATAATGCAATATTGAACTGAAATGTCTAAAAATAAATGCAGCGCAAGCAAAGCAGATAACTACCATCAACATGTATTTGCAATCAAATCCAATCCAATATTGACTTCGAAAATGAAGAAGTGAACCAACTGAGCATAGCGTACAAAATTAAATGTTGTTCTCTTCACGCCAATTTCCCCTGCAAACAGTAATAGCATATTCAAGAAGCGAAAAAACGAAAAAAATAATAATCCAAATCAAAATCAAAATAGAGACCAATATAGTTCAAATACCTTAAGCGTATTCTGAATCGATGTTTCGACAAACACTTTTACACATGCATAAATGTGCAGTGGGTAAATTTGCGAACCGTCACAAAATGCATTTGCATCGTGTACGTGTTCCCTACCCTTCGTATCGTAGCATAATATGTGCAGCTGCTACGCGAGCCCTAGGGCAAAAAATGTACGTACGCATGAGACTTCTTCGGATGGTTTTGGTTACATACACACCATAATATAGATTGCTGTTCATCTATTTATAACTTTGGTTTTGATCCAAACGGTACACATCTATTTGAATTTGAATCGATGAAAATCAGTTCTTCACTCATGAAAACCACACTTCGGGAAATCGTAAGGTAATTGAAGGCTTTTTTCATTTCTTGTATTCGATCATTTCGGTTTTGATTCATGCGAAACGAGTGCACATCGTTAGTGTGTACTCACACAGTATTCACTGCAAACATCTCTTTTTTATTGTTAAAATTCAAATCGAACGAATTCGTGTCGTGGTTAAATGATTACACACATATATATATATATATATATATATATATCAGGAATTTGAAGCACGCAGAGCAGTGTTTTTAAAACGCAAATAGAGTGATTCGGTGGCAAAAACTTCAATGCGTTGCAGTTTTTCTCTTATTCGCTGAATGGAAACTACGTTTTTCTATGGTTTACGTACACGTTACGCATAAAAACCGACGTGTAGTTCCTTGCACGGTTTAATAAATTTCGGGTTTGTGGTGCTATACCATTGATTAGTACTCGAAACGCGTTAAATTGAAATCGCATTGCGTATCATTTCTAATTGCCTAAATTAAATAACTATAAATTTTCATTGATAAATTCAATTTCATGATCTCAGACATTTCTTTTTCTTGTTTTGCGATCAAAGCCCAGCGCTTGACACCATTGCTGCTCTTATGGGTTATGCGTTTTTGAAATTCATTCCAGCAGATGTCTATAATTTTATGACCAAGCAAATTTACTTTGCTCAACACACAGAAAAGAACAACAATAGAATCGTCAAATATTTTGCGCCGTAATTTTTTCATAGGATTGAACACATTGAACAATTTTTACCAATATTACATGCTATTGGTGTTAATTGTTGCTCACAATTTCTGGTGGCCAAAATGATAATAAAACGCTGCAAATAATTACATCAATGTAGCACAACAACGAGAAAAATAAATTATTCAGGAGTTACATCGTAACATTGGTATCATAAAGTACACAATTACAAATAAAATACTGAACACTTTGTACAAATATGCAGTTGAGCCTATCTGCTTAACCAAGCAATGAGGAAAACATTGAAGAAGCCAAATCAATATTGAAAAATGTTAGAGTGAAAGATACTTATGTAGAAAACAATTTTGGAGTCAAATTGATGTAATAAAGAACTAAATGTCGATTAGATTTATTCATAATTTTTCGATCAGTTGCACTTGGTTCATTCTTCTGGGACTTCATAAATTTGCATTTGATTTTTCCGTGGATAGAATTGAACTTCTAAGAAAACAATACACAAATAGAGAAAAGTCATAGTTTTCGAACTTAAAAACATCAGAATAGAGATTTTATTTTATGGCTGGAAAGAATAGGACATGAGGTATGACAACATTTCATTTGGAATGCTCAATATAATTGCGTGTGTATTACTGTTGCATGTGGATGTAAATTATCATTTCAAAAGTTTGATTTTCTTCTGTTTCTCTTTCAATTAATGCAAAAATGTTGTGCATTCAAATAGTATGTGGATTCAGGTGCATGCTAGTTTATTCGTAGGTATAAATCCAAACTTAACTGAGTTGATCATAATATTTGCTTTGCTCGGCACTTTGAATTTGAAAAGTAGTGCCGATGCTAATGCCATATGATGTTCCCATGGAACGGAACGACAACTTAATTTTTAATTGAAAACATATGAACATCGTTGTTTTATTATTCCACCTGGAAAGTTCACCGATTTCTTTCGAAATGATATCACACAGTTTACAGATCAACGCATGTTTTCAACTCCATATTTTCTCTATTTTGATCGCAATGTATTCATTTTTCAACTTAGCATGAGGAATAAAGATGTAATGAATAAAACGCAGAAATTCTAATCATAGCACAATGAGAAAATATTTAACAACCAACTAGCATTACACATTATTCTTCTATTAGCAACAATAGTCGTCTTTCCTTGCGGCAACATTAGACATCGTTGTCGTTTCAATGGATATTCCCCATGAAAAATAATCAGTTGTTACACTCGTAATGGCTTACAGTTCCCACTCACATCATGAAAATAATATCTTGACATCAATTTTTTTTGCGTTGATTTTATTTTCTATTTCATTTGCATAGCACAATAAAATTACATTATGCTTACGCATTAATTCCGCTTGCAAAGTGACATTTTTCATTTGTTTCATTACGTTTTGGTATTCTTCTTGTTTGCAAACATTATTTCTTTACATTATTATTGTTATTGTAGAATGATTAAACAATAAACAATAGAAGTGCCTGGAGATCGAAAAGCCTATACCGATATATGCAATCAAAAACATAAGACCCCAACAAAATGTCAATTGAAGAAGCAACAGATCTGATGGACTTATTTGAGTACGATGAGTTTGACTCTTATGATGACCATACATATCAATTGATTGCCGAAAGTAACTGTTCAACTGCAAGTGGTATTCCTTTGAGTGTTGAATTATCCGAATCGTTGAGTAAAAATCAAACTCCAGTAAGTGAACAGCCGTCGATTTGTTTTGTAAAAGCGCCAGAAATATTCTTGAGAATCGATGCAAGTGGCTCAAGAATATCTACAAATTCTGAAAGTTCAAGTGAAAACAGTGGTAGTCATAAGAATGCAAATAAATTGAAAAATTGTGAAAAATCAAATTCGTTAGAATCAATTGAAAGTAATGATGTGGTATTGCTAACTAATCGAGATGAATGCGTTGAACTGCAATACGAAAATGAATTTGTCAGTCCAAACGATGAACCTGATTGTGTTCAGTCACCACCCAAACGACACAACAGTATAGAAAATGACTACGAAGAACTACTTTTTGAAGGTATTGTCAGCTAGAATTAATTCTTGTTTTCAGACATCAAATTTACATCAATATTGCCGACGAAATCTTTAGATTGTCTATTATATTTATTTTAGTTCTTTTCGATTATCCAATATGCAACCAAATCGGTTGTTATGACAGTTTCAAATAAGTCATGTGAAGTGTCACTTGTATTTCAGAAAAAAAGTTAATCAGGAAATGAATGGACACGTGATGAGAAGTGACGTGGCATTGAAATCAATTTGGAGTCGGTTAAACATAAACTGTATTTGTCTCTTATTGAACGTTACCCAATATTTTGATTAACACGTTTAGCGGGAGAATACAAATTGTACAATGTACAGAGCTCAGTAAGCAAAACAAAATGAATTCCTTAATGATTTACCACAGAACATTAGGTCGAAAATTGGAAAATATAAATAGATCAAAAATGGCCCAACAAATTGTCGTCGAATATTCCTATATAGAGTTAAAAGTCGTGAATCGTGACCACCCAAGGAACAATTGTTAACGCAAATACATCCATTGCCAAGCGTATGTAAACGGTTGAATTTGGGCCCACATTTGGGTGTAGTTTCAGTCATTTTTAACGTCACAATGGAAGTAGAAAAAGAACAGTAAAAACAAATCAATTAGAATGATATAAAAACGATTATGAATCAATATTCAATATGCTAATGAATAGTGATACTCACCTACGAGGTATTTTATATGATCCGACTAAGCCCCGTACTTCGGACAAGGCCACAATACTCAAAGCCCAGCAAAGTAACAAAACGTTACAATTATTATTGTTTGAAAACTTAATCCTACATCAACTAAAAACTATTCTTCATCGGACACGTCGTCGAGAACGTAAACGTAATCATCGTCGCTGTCGCTATCGTTGTCATCTTGGTCGCCTTCGGCATTGTTCTGCGCGGCTGCAGCTGCTGCATGATGTTGTCTCGACAGTTGCGGATGCACATCCAAGCCCTTTATCATACAAAGACCTGAAACAACCGAAATCACAAACAACAATTGTTAGCCAGAATATTTCACTTTTTTTTTTCAATGTATGATACATACCTTTGTACAATATGCACTTGGCAGCGACTTCATCCCGATGCCAAACAGTGTTCTGTTGATGTGGATGACGTGAATCGTTCCATGTGTTATCAGTGTTTAGCTGCCAGTTTTTGAACCATACATTGAGTTTCGGCACTAAACCATGTGAATACACTGGATGTACATTCAATCGTTCATATTCCGCAACAACATGTCGTCGCTCTCGTTGATACGACCGGTTGCTTTTCTTGCTGATGATCACACTGCTCAGGTGTTTGTCAGTCGTGATGTTTGCTGCATGTGGAATGCACTGACGGCAGACTTTGTAGCGGTCCTTTTTTGTACGTCGATCAAATGGCCGAAAGCACTTTGCACACGTCTGCGATGTTTTGTACTCGTCAACCATCACCACCACACAATTGTGCAGTTTCTTGAAGCTGTTCAGTAGTTTCCGTACACCAGGGCACCGCAACCGTTTCTTAATACCAATTGGCGAATTTGGAGCCATTTGAGCTGCACCAAGGAAAATGAGCGATGGCAATTTTCTGGTCAAAAAAGCAGCGATGGTATCACTTGCACGGGTCTCCTCGATATGTTTATCGAGATTGAGGCGAATGTATTTGCGTGCTGTGTAAACCTCCATTCCAGGCTGCAACATTTTCACACGATGTTCGATGTAACTCATCCAATTTGAGGCTCCCTTGGGCGATGGATAGAATGGATATTGATTTCGGTCATGTTGCTCCAATTCGGTGAACAATCGTAGCCATTTTTCCGATTTGCGCTTTCGTTTGCCATATTTCGCTCGAAAATGGTATTTCGGACCGTCGATCGTGATGTTTTCCTGTGTGAAATAAATAAGAACAAAGAATCATGATTATATGCATATAAAAGAAATGACTGACAAAACAAACAAACAAATCAAAAATAAGAAAAAAGAACAAAGAATCATGATTATATGCATATAAATGAAATGACTGACAAAACAAACAAACAAATCATTGTTACTCACTTCCACACCGGATGCGATATGTTTTCGCACCGTGGCATTCCAGGTTCGCACACCAGGATCCATGCCAAGCACGAAGCGGAAAACACCATTTTCGTAAATTTCGTTGATTTGCTCGTGCGAATATTCGTGTGAGGGGCATTCTGGCTTCAGGAAACACAACGAAACAGCCACACTATCCGTCACGATTGTGTAGTCAAATGTCTTGCGATTGCCGACTTTCTGAATCTTGTCCATGTTGAATATTGTGTCCCAGGACACAAATGGATTGCTGTCGTAGACCTTTTTCGAAATGTTAACCGGCTGGCCAAACAATCCTTTTGCCAACTTGATGGCACCCAATTTGCACGCCATTTGATAGAACAGATGAATATCGATCCGGATGTGCTTCATCTTGAAGTCATGAATCGGAATTACACGAAAGTTTTTTATTTTCGGTGGGCGTGCAATGGATGGCATGGCGTTGTGTAATCGATCCCGATAATATCGGCGCCAGAGATCATTCAAGAGCTCGTATCTTTCATGGTGGTTGAACACTAGCCGTTGAATGGTGATGAATATCGGTATTGTCTGGAACCAACTACCACGGACGAGATCACATAACTTCTTACCGACTGGTATTCCGATCATACGCGCTTGCTCGAGCAGCCACACCACATTCGCACTTGGTACTATATTGTTGAACATAACTGATTTGGTGGCATTTTTCACATCGATGTCGCTGATGTTATGGCCAAGCAAATTGAGCTCATACCGTTGCAGCACGAAAAACGTTTTGATACGGGTGTAGCTATACATTTTGATGTTGTTCTTCACATTGGCGGTGTATTGATCAATGAGCTGATTGAATGCGTTTCCCATGCCTTCACGTTGTGGCCATCGGAAGTTCGGCACTGCTGTTTCGATTATTTGGCGGAAGGCCAACGGCAATTTGTGTCGGTTCTCGTTCAAAATGTTCTTGAAGCAATCCTTGATCAATTCGTATCCATTGCCTCTGAAGAAGTCATGGTTATCTTCATCGAATGCTCGGTTGTTCTCGAAGAGAAACAACAATGACGCCAAAACGGTGATGACGGTGGCTGTGTGGCACCAATTGGTGACTTGTGCCACAAAATTCGCGCGATATTGATCCCGGAGAACCGAATTCAGCGATAGTTTGACCGATCTCAGTCGCCCGTTCTGGGCCCGCTTTCTCTTCATGCTCACCAAATTTGATCTAATGAAAATGAAAATGGTGAACAAATTGATTAGAATTATTGCACTTTCGATCAAACACTGACTAAATTAACAATTTGTTTTGGAGAAACAATCAATGAACCATCAATACAACAATCAACTTGCCTCAACGAATTCTGACACCAAACTGACCATGCAATGCTGAATTTCGAATATTGTGCTCTTGTCGTTTTGCAAATGTCCTGTTAGTCAAAAATCACAACCGAATTAAATGCAAAACTAATACAACAGCACAATCCAGAAAAATGTGTTGATGAACACTCAAAATCTCGTCTGAATTCGACTCAAAGTAAACATCGGTATGAGATTCAGAACACAAAAACTGCATTGTTCCTCACGCAGCAACAGTAAGAGCTGTCAATTCGATTCTAATGGATTCGATCGCCACAGTCACACTTCGATTTGTTATGAAAATATTCTTGCCTCAACGAATTCCGACACCAAACTGCCAATGCTATGCTGAATTTCGAATATTGTGCTCTTGTCGTTGTGCAAATGTCCTGTTAGTCAAAAATCACAACCGAATCAAATGCAAAACTAATACAACAGCACAATCCAGAAAAATGTGTTGACGAACACTCAAAATCTCGTTTGAATTCGACTCAGAATAGATATTTTGCATCGTTATGAAATTCAGAACACAAAAACTGCACTGTTCTTCACGCAGAAACAGTGAGAGCTGTCAATTCGATCGCCACAGTCAGACTTCGATTTGTTATGAAAATATTCTTGCTCCAGCACACACACAAGAATGAAACGAACGAAGCGGAGAAGCAACAGAGGATACACGAGAGCAACAGTACACATAGCTATGTTACTTGATTGTTCTTTCTGTATGCGGTTCATTCTCACATTCTTTCTTTCGTGTTTGTATATCTGCTGTACGGTCTGTGTAGAATGGAGCGAGCATAATGTGAACCGTCCGTTATTTGTTACATTTTGAATAATATGCATTGCGTTAAAATATTTCATTGGAAGGTGTCATTTTATTGGGAACCATGCACATAATCCACGTTAAATATAACACTGAAATTACCACGAAAATGGGCCAAAACGTTACATTACGCGATGGTGAAATCTACTGAAAATGGTTACATTTTTGTTCCTTGGGCAGGTGATATACACGAAAAAAAAACAATCGATATGGTTCCCACAGAAACATAAGATAGTCTTGATTCAAACAAAAATGGAATGCATGTTTGTTGCTTGAAATTTGCGATGTGCCTAGAGGTGTCAACGGACAAAATTTTGTCCGTCCGTCCATCCGAACATTTTTTGAAAAAATTCGGACGTCCGGTCCGAATGTCCGAAAACCGAAATTTTTTTTCGGACGTCCGGTCCGAATGTCCGAAAACCAAAGATTTTTTTCGGACGTCCGGTCCGAATGTCCGAATTTTTTTTCGGGGTTTGTCCGAACTTTTCAAATTTTTTCGGACGTCCGAAGTTTTTTCGGACGTCCGTAGAATTTCCGGACGTCCGAAAAAAATTCAAAGCCAAAAAAAATTCTAAAAAAAATTTTCTCGGCTCCAATGATTTCTTTCTAATCCCACAATTGATCCGTTGCGACAAACAAATTCCCTCAGAATATTTTAGTTTCAAAGTGCAACAACCACGTAAAAACGTTTACCAAAAAGTGTAAACCAACTAATATACAAACTAATATATGAATGCGTTAGAATAAAAAGGGCGTATGATACACTTTCGTACCGAAGCGCAACTCAAATCATTCGCAGAACAAAGTGAAACAAAATCATGTTGTTATTTGATTACGGAACACTGGAATATTGTGTGCAAACTATTTGTGTTTCGTTTTGTTCTGATAACATGTGCGGTGTGTCGTTTTGTTTTACTAACCAAATTGTATTTCGCTTCGAAATGCGACGCATTTTTTTTCGATTTACGGCTGTATTGCGACCGTCTACATGAGAAGTTTGTATGAAAACCTCGGAGCGCCGCTGATATTGCATTGGCTTCTATGGCCAAATGTACACATGGAAATATCTCGAAAACGGCTGGGT